GTCTATAGCGGTCTACGTCTGTGTCTATAGATGTCTGTAGGTATCGACGTCTTTAGCGGTCTACGTCTCTTTTTATAGATGTCTTTAGGTATCTACGTCTATAGCGGTCGACGTCTGTGTCTATACATGTCTGGAGGTATCTACGTCTATAGCGGTCTACGTCTGTGTCTACAGATGTCTACATCTACATCTGTATCTGCATCTGTGTTTGAAGGTGTCTAGATCTGTGTCTGCTTCTGTGTCGAGGTGTCTACATCTGTGTCTGCTTCTGTGTCTGTATACGTGCGTCTGTTCATATCAGTATCCGTGTCTGTATACGTGCGTCTGTTCATATCGGTATCTGTGTATGTTCATATCTGTGTCTGTATACGTACGTCTGTTCATATCAGTATCTGTGTCTGTATCCGTGCGTCTTTTCATATCAGTATCCGTGTTTGTATACGTGTGTCTGTTCATATCAGTCTCCGTGTCTGTATACGTGTGTCTGTTCATATCAGTATCCGTGTCTGTATCCGTGCGTCTGTTCATATCAGTATCCGTGTCTGTATCCGTGCGTCTGTTCATATCAGTATCTGTGTCTGTATCCGTGCGTCTGTTCATATCAGTATCCGTGTCTGTATCCGTGCGTCTGTTCATATCAGTATCCGTGTCTGTATCCGTGCGTCTGTTCATATCAGTATCCGTGTCTGTATCCGTGCGTCTGTCCATATCAGTATCTGTGTCTGTATCCGTGCGTCTGTTCATATCAGTATCCGTGTCTGTATCCGTGCGTCTGTTCATATCAGTATCTGTGTCTGTATCCGTGCGTCTGTTCATATCAGTATCCGTGTCTGTATCCGTGCGTCTGTCCATATCAGTATCTGTGTCTGTATCCGTGCGTCTGTTCATATCAGTATCCGTGTCTGTATACGTGTGTCTGTTCATATCAGTCTCCGTGTCTGTATATGTGCGTCTGTTCATATCAGCCTCCGTGTCTGTATACGTGTGTCTGTTCATATCAGTATCTGTGTCTGTATAAGTGTGTCTGTTCATATCAGTATCTGTGTCTGTATACGTGTGTCTGTTCATATCAGTATCTGTGTCTGTATACGTGTGTCTGTTCATATCAGTCTCCGTGTCTGTATACGTGTGTCTGTTCATATCAGTCTCCGTGTCTGTATACGTGTGTCTGTTCATATCAGCCTCCGTGTCTGTATACGTGTGTCTGTTCATATCAGTATCCGTGTCTGCACGTGTCTGTGTATATCGGTATGTGTTTGGGTTTGTTTATATCAGAGTCTGTCCCTATTTACATGTTGTCTATTTATATCAGTACACGTGCCCATATATGCGTTTCTGTTTACTTCAGTCTCTGTTACATCTTCATCTGTGTTGTTTTTTAATACCACTTTAGTGTGTGAAGATATCGTCTTTCGCGGTCTCATCGATTAAGATATATTAGATGAAGACATTGGAAACCCGGGTATTCAATTTGGGCTCTGGGACGTGCCCATTGAGTCGGCAATATTCTCTTCTCATTTTCGCGTGTTTTCTTTGTATATGGCGATGGCGCTTTGTCTTGGTAATATTGAAGGCACTGATGTCGGCTAGAAAAAACAAACAACTATATCGTGAGCATAACTTTCCCCTTCGCATTCTATTTTGGAAATTCCTGCCAACAAATATAACCACAAAGAAACATTTTGCCTTGACTTCCTGTCAGCCATAGGCCCTGATAAGCCATTTTTGTTTGTATCGTTTTCTGAATGTTTTGTCTGTTTTGTTTGTTTTTACACAATGGACTGACGTTACTTTTGTTACTCTTTTCATGTTTCTTCATGTACGCAGCTGTGTATGACCGAGGTAATCTGTTGTGGTCATTGCCATAAGTCATTATGCAAAACAAAATATACCCCTCCATACGTCACAGTTCCCGTTTCCTGCTTAATGATTGGTTGAATGTTTAGTTCACTTGTTTTAAAGGCCATTAAATTGTAACCATACACCTGGAAGAGTGAGTTGTGTATGGGTATGGTGCTGACAAACCTAGAAACATAATCGAGGCGAACCGGGATTCGAACCCACAATCATAGGTTTCAGGAGTTCCCAAGGGACGCAGCTCTGCACATCGAATCGCGGCGCCTTAGACGACTGGGCCACCCGTGCCCCCTTACACCACAGATTATCGCTTACTATATATTACCATACAAGAAGTCATTCATTTATATCGCATCCATTTATATGTCATCCATTTGCATGTTAGCTACACACTATACTCAAGGGCAAAGGAAATTTTACATGTGTGCAACAAATATCAGTTGTATCAAACCAAAATGTAATGTGACGGAAATTGTGTTTGCAATTGTTACGTAAATCAAATACAAAGATCGTTCAACACAAGCTTAAGATTCAACACAAGCTGTAAGATTCAACACAAGCTGTAAGATTCAACACAAGCTGTAGGTTACTATAACTGAGACGTAAAGACCGAAAAGTCACACAAGGGTTCTAAAATGGAATTTTCATAACGAAATGTCCAACACTGAAGTCAATAAAAAGTCAATTCTCAACATGAAAAATGTCTGCGATGTCGTGTGTGACCACCTCAGCATGAATAAAAGTGAAGACACGATTTAGAATCGATGTAGTGAATCTTCTGGTGACATCATTTGGGATGCCTTGCTGTTCCTTTGACAGACCTTGTGCCAAGTGATGTGTGTTGAGAGGTGGCTGCTGTCTCAATCGAATCTGGAGGCCAAGGTGGCCCTACACACGCTCGAGGGGTGCCTGTCTGGAGAGCGTACAGGCCCTGGCAAGACGTTGACGTTATTCTGGTTGAAGAAATCCTGACACACTCGTAATGATGGGTCTGGTGTTATCATTTTGGAAAAGGGCTCCTGTGGATGTTGTTTAGGACTCCATCCCTGTATCTCAGAGCAGATAGGTTACCATTAATGACGAGTCTGGTTGTCCTGTCGTCCGAGATGTCACCCACATCATGACGCTGCCACTTCGGTTGGACTCATTTTCTTGAAAGCAACGAGCTGTGCGTTCCCCTGTACGTCTGTAAACTCTCGCCCTTCCATCAGTCTTGGGGAGGCAGAACCTTCTCCCGTCCGAGAAGATCCTTCGCCAATCGCATAATTGCCAACGCCTAACACGTCTAGCCCATGATAATCTTGCCTAACGACGTCTGTTGGTCAATGTTGCCCCTCTATAAGGTTTGTCGACTTTGATACCAGCAGCATGCAGTCGTCTTGTTGCTGTCTCTTGACTCACACGATTCGCTGATGACGTCACCGTAAAAAAACGTCCATAGATATCGGTCTTCATGCGGACTTGTGGGCTTGGTCTGCCTGTTCTAGGACTGTCAGAAGTCAGAAGTCTGTGTGAAGCGATTCATCAAGTTACCAACTGCAACAGCCAAAGGCTAATGTAACGTGGGGTTGGATGCCCCTAGCTGGAGTATTCCAGTTGTTCGATCGCGTTGTTCTGCAGCGAGCGGTGCCACTATGTGGGGTGTTTTCTATTGATGTGCATGCTCTAGTGATGTTTGGGTTCATTGTTATAGCCAAAGTGCACGTACAGTTTTTGTAGGTAGTAAAACACGGGATTTTACCCATTCAGACACTTCATGATGTCATGTTGCTCCCTTTGTTTATGCATGTGCTTGTTGGATATGGTCGTTTGTTTATGCATGTGCTTGTTGGGTTTAGTCGATTGTTTATGCATGTGCTTGTTGGGTTTAGTCGATTGTTTGTGCATGTGCTTGTTGGGTTTAGTCGATTGTTTATGCATGTGCTTGTTGGGTTTAGTCGATTGTTTATGCATGTGCTTGTTGGGTTTAGTCGATTGTTTATGCATGTGCTTGTTGAGTTTAGTCGATTGTTTATGCATATGGTTGCGTCATAATATTTATGATCTCCTAAACATCGTTTCCATGTGTTACGTTTCTTATGGACTTGAGTATATTTCGAAAATAGGTTGTAAGAAGTATTCTTGACAAAAACGTAATCTCAGGCGCATTCGGATTGGTTCGTCGTGTTTTTCGCACATAACACTGATCGATAAGAGGACTTATTTTCTTTGCAGGTTTCGGAAAGGGGCGAGAGGTGACGAATAATACTGCAGCTGAAATCGAGCAACTGACCGACCATGAATGGTAATATAGTTATTAACACTTGGTTAGGTGTGTGACGGGTCGTTGTGAGTTAATTTGTCCCCTGCGAACTCTCACACAGCATATGCTGACCGAGTACATGCAGAAGGAAAGGTGTACATCAGTGGCAAGTTATTAAACAACTAGAATAGTATTTGATAACACACAAGTCTATTTCCGTCTCATGACTTTCTTATAAATACCATCTCATGTAAGCTGAACGTATGATCAATCACCATACACCTCGTTGACGGGATGCGTGTGGTAAATGAGTGTGAAAGGATCCTCATTATGCGTGTGTGGAACACCTCTCGAGGCCAAGTGACTATCTCGAGAGCTGCCCTAAACAAGCTACTGACATCATTGTTACGGGGTAGGGGAGTAGTGATGAGATTCCTGGGTCGGACTTAATCCATGCTCCATATCTCCTTACACCAGCATTGGAAGCCGGCTTAGTGTCGAATTTTATGGAGATCAGTTGACGTGTAAACTCCCTCCACTTCCTCTCTTTCTCTAATTTTTCACTCCCCTCTTCCTCTTTCACTCATTCTTCACTCCCCTCTTCTTCCTTCTCTCATTCTTCACCCCCTCTTCTTCTTTCTCTCATTCTTCACTCCCCTCTTCTTCTTTCTCTCATTCTTCACTCCCCTCTTCTTCTTTCTCTCATTCTTCACTCCCTCTCTCATTCTTCACTCCCCTCTTTCTCTTTCTCTCATTCTTCACTCCCCTCTTCTGCTTTCTTTCATTCTTCACTCTCCTTTTCCTCTTTCACTCATTCTTCACTCCCCTCTTCTTCTTTCTCTCAGTCTTCACTCCCCTCTTCTTCTTTGTCTCATTCTTCACTCCCCTCTTCTTCTTTCTCTCATTCTTCACTCCCCTTTTTCTTTCTCTCATTCTTCACTCCCCTCTTCTTCTTTCTCTCATTCTTCACTCCCCTCTTCTTCTTTCTCTTATTCTTCACTCCCCTCTTTTTCTTTCTCTGATTCTTCACTCCCCTCTTCTTCTTTCTCTCATTCTTCACTCCCCTCTTCTTCTTTCTCTCATTCTTCACTCCCCTCTTCTTCTTTCTCTCATTCTTCACTCCCCTCTTCTTCTTTCTCTCATTCTTCACTCCCCTCTTTTTCTTTCTCTTATTCTTCACTCCCCTCTTTTTCTTTCTCTCATTCTTCACTCCCCTCTTCTTCTTTATCTCATTCTTCACTCCCCTCTTCTTCTTTCTCTCATTCTTCACTCCCCTCTTCTTCTTTCTCTTATTCTTCACTCCCCTCTTCTTCTTTCTCTTATTCTTCACTCTCCTTTTCCTCTTTCTCTCATTCCTCACTCCCCTCATCCTCTTTGTCTCATTCCTCACTCCCCTTTTCCTCTCTCTCTCTCTCTCTCCCTCTCTCTCTCTCTCTCTCTCTCTCTCTCTCTCGCTCGCTCGCTCTCTCTCTCTCTCTCTCTCTCTCTCTCTCTCTCTCTCTCTCTTGATCTTCACTGTTCTTTTCCGCTCTCTTTTCCCAATATCAGTCCGTTCATTTCTGATAATCTTGAAATATTGCTGAAAGCGGTGTACATTGACACTCCCTCAATCACCCACTGGCCAGTGAATCGGGCTCTCAGAGACAAACGTGACATCCGGGATACCATATTTAAGGGGGGCTAACTCTGAATCATGCGAAAGGATAAGGTCGAACGACAGTGTGGGGGTGTAATTCGCGTGTCACATTCCAGTTATTGTCATGGAACAGTGGCAATGAAGTTAAAACGTTTCATTCCGTTGCATTTCATGTTACTTTATCAATGGGTTATACATGAACAAGCATCAGTAAAAGATGCATGGATTCTTCAACACAGCCGTTTTTCCTATCAATGTGTTGTTCCACGGAGACCGTGTTGGCAGTACACGGTGCGGGGACAGGGGCGGTGCGGGGACAGAGACGGTGCGGGGGAAAGAGGCGTTGCGGGAACGTGAGACGGTGCGGGGATAGAGACGGTGCGGGGACAGGGACGGTGCGGGGACGTGAGACGGTGCGGGGACAGAGACGGTACGGGACATGCAGTGCGGGGATAGAGACGATGCGGGGACAGAGACGGTGCGGGGACAGGGACGGTGCGGGGACGTGAGACGGTGCGGGGACAGAGACGGTACGGGACAGGCAGTGCGGGGATAGAGACGGTGCGGAGACGTGAGACGGTGCGGGGACAGAGACGGTGCGAGGACAGAGGCGGTGCGGGGACGCGAGACGGTGCGAGGACATAGACAGTGCGGGGACAGGGGCGGTGCGAGGACAGGCGGTGCAGGGACAGAGGCGGTGCGGGGACGAGAGACGGTGCGAGGACAGAGACGGTGCGGGGACGTAAGACGGTGCGTGGACAGAGACGGTGCGAGGACAGAGACGGTGCGGGGACAGAGACGGTGCGAGGACAGAGACGGTGCGGGGGACAGATGCGGTGCGAGGACAGAGACAGTGCGGGGGACAGAGGCGGTGCGGGGACGTGAGACGGTGCGAGGACAGAGGCGGTGTGGGAACAGAGGCAGTGTTGGGACGTGAGACGGTGCGAGGACAGAGACGGTGCGGGGACAGGGGCGGTGCGGGGACAGGGGCGGTGCGAGGACAGAGACGGTGCGAGGACAGAGACGGTGCGAGGACAGAGACGGTGCGAGGACAGAGACGGTGCGGGGACAGGGGCGGGGCGGGGATAGAGGCAGTGTGGGGACGTGAGACGGTGCGAGGACAGAGACGGTGCGGGGACAGAGGCGGAGCGGGGACAGATGGGGTTCAAGGGCAGGGGGTGCACGACAGGAGACGGGGCGATATTAAAGATGGTGCAACGGTAGGAAACGGTGCGGGGACAGGAGGTGCACTGCCAGTCTCATTAATATCACACCATTTCCTCCGTTACCATACCTCTGTGTGTGAAGATTTGAGCACCCCCGCGGTAGCACCATCTACACCAAAAGGGGTTCTTATGGAGGGTATATTTGTGTTATGGTGGTTTTATATTTTGGCCTGGAAACCTGTTATCTGATTAGCTCTAGAACCCACTCATCCTTCAGACTTCAGACTTCATTACTTCGAATTTTCTTCACAAATTAAGCCGAAACGTGGCGATATTACTCAGTTCTGGAATCCAACCCAATTCCATATCATTCTTACGTGACTTTCAATACCGTGACCCAGCGGGAGTGACTTGGACGTGACGTCGTTGTTCGCTTTCCGGTAGTGGCGACGGCGTGAGAGGTTGCTGAACTCACACTTCGGCAGCGATAACGAGAGCTGATTTCCCAGAAGAATGCCCCGAAATGTGGCCGTTTGTGCTCCATCACATGGAACGGATGAATCGATGGATTGGGTGCATCGTTGGTTCTTGAATTACGGAAGCTCATCTGCAAACTTGATGACATTTTCTGCTGAATTAACTCTGAACAGTCTCATTTATTTGCTTCTTGGTATACATAAAATGAGATTTTAATTGCTATTATTGATGGTAATTGATAAAAAGCCATACGTAGCAGTCGCCCAATGCGAACATACTCAGAAAAAGGCAATACTTTAATTTCATACAGGATACATGTTGATTATTCATTACGATACAAATGAAATTTTAATAACTATCATGGCAAACAATGCCTAGTATTTGCATTGTTTCTATACACTAAATAAATGAATAAACCATGCTTTCAAGCACTTAAAAAAAATATGTCTAATAGGCTCTTGAAATAAAACACATGGAGTCGACCTGGGAGTTTGTATCAAGATTAGAATGTTTCAGCTACTGCTACAAAACCAATATCTTTTTATTTAAACCTATGAGCCTGATTTGTTTAAAAGATAATTGCTTGCAACAATGTATTTTTTATGCAGGCAATTTCTTTTTTTTTCAACAGTCGATACAATCCCAATGGCTTATATGGGGAGTGATGGCTCAGTCGCCTAAGGTGCCGCATTTCACTGTGCTGAGTTACGCCCCTGTGTGCCAGAAACCTATGAACGTGGGTTTCAATCCCGGTTCACCCTGATTGTTTCTAGGTTTGTTAGCATTAACCCGTGCTCTTGGATTTCACCATAGTGCTAAACATTTAAGTGAGTAAGTGAGTGAGTGAGATGGGTTTAACGCCACTTTTAACAGTATTCCAGTTACATCGCGGCGTGTCAGCTTAATTTTGGAGGAAAGCCCGAAGTGATGCAGGTCTCAGACGTTTACCACTTCGGTGAAACCCACGAGCACGGGTATGGTGCTGACAAACCTAGAAAAATAATCGGGGGGAACCGGGATTCGAACCCACAATCATAGGTTTCTGGCGTGCCCAAGGGACGCAACTCTGCACAGCGAATCGCGGCGCCTTAGACGACTGGGCCACCCGTGCCCCCCTAAATGTTTAAGACCATCATAACTTCGGGCTATCATTCACAGCAAGCTGATATAACTGAAATACAGTTCAAAGCGACGTTAACACAAATCACTCAGTATTTGAGCACGTAGTATTCCAATAGGTCACAGGGCAGGGCAGTTCAGCAGTAACAACCAAGATTGCTTAATGCATATGATAAGTTTACCTATTACCATTAGTCGTTCTCGTAATAATTCGGCAATAAGTCTATCGTGATATCTTTGGGATTATTTCTTTTCTGGACCAACAGTTTCAATCCTTCTTCCAATCCTTCTTGTTGGCCACGCTGACCGCGACAACTGAAGGAGGAGAGTATATACAACCCACGCCTCTGGAGTACATTCGTTTTTTGAATTCTTGCAAAACAACGAAACATCATTTTCTCACTTCGTTTACACACAAAGCGTGTGGGTGTTTTGTTCAACCCACACATACGTACACATACGGCGTAATCCAGGAGAAAATGTGTGAACACAATTATGACATTCCCGGTGCATTGTTAATGAGTAGTCATAGAGAAACTATGTAACTAGACCCATGCTACGATCTATCTGTGCTCCACATCCCAACCTTCCTAAACCCCTACCCCACCCCACCCCAACCTCCCAACCCCCAAACCTCGAATCTCCCAACCCCCTAACATGCTCAGCCTGCCTACCACCTCTCGTAAAACAGTCTCCTGCCTATCACTCCATTAGATAAACAGAGCCATGTCTGATCTTTACAACACGTCCCATGAGTATATTATATATTTATCGGCATGTCTCTAGCTAATTGGCGGGCATAGATTGGCATATGGCGGTACACCAGAAGAGGCATCTACATTGATAGGAGGTTATGAAGTGTGAAGTTGCTCCTGGATGCTATCGATCGCTCATTATTCACGAATGGCTTTGTCTAATTATTTATCTCGCGAGAAGCAACGAGACTTGGAAAACGTATTTCGGCGAGATATGTCGACAAGATGGTAACTGAAGATTAACGAAGCCTAACTCGATCTGGCGCTACTGTGTGTGTGAGTGAAACGAGACAAACCCGGAGATTAAATTCCATACCGTGACGACGAAATTAAAGAAAAACAAAATTTTCAAAGAGCTCACCTACCGTCAAATATAATTCGAAAACAACTCGTCTATTTAAAGATTCACATTATCCCAACGGCTACGATCAATGGCTTTGTTGACCAACTAACGTTAAACTACGTCAGACATCTGTGAACCTTTAAAATGGTACTTTCATGTGTTGTCTGTCGTTTGTTAACGAGTGCCGGTGCAGTGTGAAAATTGTACACTTTGGCTGCACCGGGGGAGGCGGAGGGTGGGTGGGTGGGGGGAGGTGGGGCGTGGGAGACAGATAGAGATAGCGGTGGAAGCTTAAAAAGATGTGGGTGCTGACTGTTATGACTCCAACGACGCCCCTTTCAGTAAATCACCCCAGGAATTCATACAAACAGCAAATATGTAGCCGACGTTTTAATGTCAGGTGTTGCTGCCGTTTCGTACCAAAGGTCAAACCGTCTAGCGCGGTTAGCCGACGGTCAGTTCCGGACAATGGTCTGGTATTCTACTGAAAGGGTTGTATATAACTGTATAAAAATATGAATGTATGGGTTCTAAGCATTATATCTTATTCCTTTGATTATATGTGTATAAATAATATTGTATGTGCCAAATTGATATTATTGCATAGTTTGTAGTTTATCCCGAGTGGGCGTTTTCTCCTTGCATTTTTCTTCTTCCTCTGGGGGCACGGACGGCCCTGTCGCAATTCGCAGTGCAGAGTAGCGTCCTTTGGACATACCAGAAACCTATGATTGTGGGTTTGAAGCACGGTTCACCCCGATTATGTTTGTCAGCACCAAAACAATGTTCGTGGGTTTAACCAAAGTGGTAAACGTCTGACGCCTGCATCACTGTGCGCTTTCCTACGACAATAAACTGACACTCCATGATGTAACTGAAGTGAGTGAGTGAGTATGGTTTTACGCCGCTTTTAGCAGTATTCCAGCAATATCACGGCGGGGGACACCAGAAATGGACTTCACACATTGTACCCATGTCGGGAATCGCTACCGGGTCTTCGGCGTGACGAGCGAACGCTTTAACCACTAGGCTACCCGGTCGCCCCTGTAACTGAAGCTATGTTCAAAGCGGGGTTACACACAACTCACTCACTTACCTTTCTTCTTCTTCTTCTTCTTCTTCTTCTTTTAATCACTTCCCTTTTACTCTCATGTAGTATATTCCCATCATCTTTTCAGCACTAAAATTAAGAGACTTTAGAGTTCCTTTATAGAAGTAGCTTATTATACCTAACAGGGGACTTTATTTCGGTGATCATATCTATGTCACTTTCTCTTATTAGGGTTTTTGTTCTCAGAATATGGCCATGCCCCAAACAGAAATACATGTTGCACATGTGGTGTCTCCTTTGGAAAGCGACTTTGTTCGAAATGTGCCCCTGTCCACCTAAAAGTCAATGGGCATCCGTCAGGATGAGATGGTAATGTGACTGTTGTATACTCCCCAGGGAGTTGAGAAAGAAAATGGAGTGACACTGATCCACTAATCATCATCATTATTATTATTGAAACCTAATACTTTCACGTTATTGCCAAGATGATTTTTTGAATGAAGGGGAAAAAGTTTTCAAGTTTGAAAGAGCAAATAAGGCACAACCGCACATATGTTTTCTTTAAAGATGGAATAGTTTCAGTGTTATCATAGCGGAAACTTTAAACTCCACTCACACGAGGGAAGTAAAGGCACTTCTTTGTCGTTACGGACAGCCGCCGGCGTATCACGTGATCTTTGAAACACCACGTGACTTTGCGTATGGTTTTCAGGCTCGCCGTTAGCGCGCGTATGAAGTTATTTTCAGAAACAACAAAATTAAAAGAAAAAGTCCATTTTCGGCGTACGATGATGACAAAAACACATTTTGCGATAATCTTGTGGTATCTGTTTGGCATATTGAAAGTCACCGGTTATAGTGTTAAATGCATGTGTTGGGAAGAATCTTCTTGGGGTTGGGGTATTTTTATTTGTTGATGTTCCTCGCCGGTGGACCGTGATATGTTTACATGTTTACAAACAGATGCCCGTGTGACCCGAGTTGGGGAAACAAAGCCTCGGAGAGCCTCATGAAGCCTCTCATCTACACACGGTCAGCTTGGTGGAAATAAACTGGCGCTGAGACGATGATGTACTAAATTATTTAGTCCGTCAGATGTTTTCGTCTAGACTTGGGGGTGGGAGTGATCATCTACTTCTACTTAGGTGTCGAAACCTACCAGGAATAGCCCGGGAACCTTTTATATGTGAACGAGTTGAGTCTCTCCGCATGCGCGCGTGTCGTTGATGGCCGTATGTACTTTCTTTGTCTTCATCACCAGTGTAATATTGTCATCTATCTCTGCCAAGCTTTGTCTTCACCTCCAGTGTAATATTGTCATCCATCTCTGCCAAGCTATGTCTTAATCTCCAGTGTAATATTGTCATCCATCTCTGCCAAGCTTTGTCTTCATCTCCAGTGCTTTATTGACACCCATCACTACCAAGCTTTGTCTTCACCTAAAGTGTAATATTGTCACCCATCTCTGCCAAGATTTGTCTTCACCTAAAGTTTAATATTGTTACCCCTCTCTGCCAAGCTTTGTCTTCACCTAAAGTTTAATATTGTCACCCCTCTCTGCCAAGCTTTTGTCTTCATCTCCAGTGCTATATTGTCACCCATCACTACCAAGCTTTGTCTTCACCTAAAGTGTAATATTGTCACCCATCTCTACCAAGCTTTGTCTTCAGTGTAATGTTTTCACCCATCTCTGCCAAGCTTTGTCTTCACCTCCAGTGCTATATTGTCACCCATCTCTACCAAGCTTTGTCTTCATCTCCAGTGTAATATTGTCACCCATCTCTACCAAGCTTTGTCTTCATCTCCAGTGTATGGTTGTCACCCATCTCTGCCAAGCTTTGTCTTCACCTCCAGTGCTATATTGTCACCCATCTCTACCA